GGGATATAAAAAATAACATTATATATATATATATATATATATATATGTTATTAGTACTGATAATCTTTTTATCTTCTTAATAACCTAAGAAATAAAACTTACAACAGCATAAAGTGAAGACAAGAACACGCTGATTCCTTTCTGGGTTTGCTGGACCGAAGGCACTACGTCATTAATGAAGAACGTCTCACTGTGTGGAGTCTCGTCAGAAAATGTGGACAAAGTGAAGAAAACCGTTGACCCTTCAGAGATTCCACAACTCTGCAGCGTGTCGCCGCCAGAGTGTTCACCTCTATAAATATAATAAACACGAGGAGAGCAGAAGTACTGTGTGAGTAAAGAAATACGCCCGTATTGATTGATTCATGCCATAATATTAATTCTTTGTGTGATCATTATGAATTACTTGTAATAAAGGACATGTGCCGGGATTCCACTTTCATTTGCCAGCTTGAGTCTCAGACTGGTCATGGTGTCACTTGCCAAGTTCACCGTCAGCTCAAAGTCTCCCTGTGTAAAATAAAGTAAACAAAAACAATTTTTAAGTATTTGTAACAGATTTTAAATAAATACTACATATGTGTGTAATGTATGTTAAAAAGTGGTTAATGAACAACAGACAATGCCATGTTAGAGCCTTGAGCACAGTAGTTGGACTGGATACAATTTCAATGTATTTATACTAAATATCACCAGTGACACTTTTCTTCTGAACACAGTTGTCTTATTTTAATGAAACATATTCAGCTTGTAGAATAATATCCATTCATCAGTTGCTAACAGTATCATTAGTTTTATCTTGATCAATATAGTTAAGATCTACCTTGAGCATAACGTGACATCGAACCACGTTGTCTCCGTAGGTTTCAGCAGCCTCTCGCTTTGGTATCTGAGGGGCCTCTTTAAGGTTTTCCTTCGGTGTGAATATGACATAAATCACAGCTCCGCTTTGAATATGTCTGTCATTCAAAGACCCTGTATGAGGAGACAACATTTTAAGTTGATATGGTGAACAAACATATTTAAACATCCAGCAGTTGACGAATGCGAGGCAAGTATTCACTGTCCTTATAGCTCCGTTTCTCACCAACTCCTGAGGGAAATATCTGGCTCGTTAGCTGCTAAATACTCCACCATGTTCGCCAGCTAGTCTCTAACTGTCTACCATTTTGTGCTAAGCTGTGTATTGGGTTGTTTTTTTTTTTTTACAGCTTTTCCTCTGAAAACAGCTGCTGGCTTGAACATAAACAGTTGTGGGCTGTAAAACCGAAGTGTAGCAACTCAATAAAGACTTTATGCAAACTACAAGACTTTTGTTATGATTTCTCAAGACGGATCCTCTTGTTCAAGTGGTTCAGAAATGCACCTAAACCTCATTGTGAGCTGTCAAACATAATTTTCTTTCCAAAAAAACTGGATGCAATTACGGTTGGGGCACCTTCGAGACAGAGCAGTAACCAATAAGATTCAAGAGAGTCCTGGTTCAAGATTTTGGATGCTTCAGTACTTCAGTACTGTGCAACAAAACAAAAGAATCTTGGAAATATAAACGTTTAACATCATTGAGCAACATTCACTGTGAAAGGTGTCAGGTCTGCTCACATGTGTTGAAGAAGGGATCGTCTGTCAGAGGCATCCCGTCGATTGTGTAGAGACAAACTCCTCTGGCGTTGCCGACACTTTCGAGATGGCCGATCCTTAACATCAGGTCCTCAACTGTGTTCTGTGCTGGATCCATATCTGCACGTTCAAAGTAACCACTGTTAAGCTGTTCAGTTGGGTGTGGATGTCTGCTTATACAATGATCACACAACTTAATTATTGCATCTTATTTCTAACCCACTGTGGTATCGGTAAATTGCGACTGGCCTAATCAATCTAATGGATTAGAAATGGATTATAAAAGATGTGAAGAAGTGTTCCTTTTACCTTCAATATGTTTGGGTTTAGGACATTTCGGGTATGTGTACTGCAGATGGAACGACTCCAATGATTTTTGCACAGGCGTCACAGTTTGAACTTGGCGCTCTGGAGCTCGGAGTCTTTGAATGAAGGTTTTCATAGCTGAAAAACGATTCCTCTCCACATGACTTAGACCTGTAAAAACGTAGGCACAAAAATGGTATTTGACTAATTAAATACATATTATGTCATTTTTTTATAATACAGTGGACATTTAACTCATCATTAGGCTTGTGTTTTGATCAATTATTCACTGACATTTGATGAAATTGCAAGTAAATGATGCGTTCAGGCTCACCAATGTTGTTTAGGTCTTCATCCGTTACGCCATCCACGAAATCTCGTTCATCTTTTACACCCAACTGGAAAAACTGGTTGTAGTAAGATTCCAGTCGGAACCTTTCAAGCATGTTGAACATCGCATCCATCTAAACAAAGACAATGTGACACTTTATTTACAATCTCCTTGAACACTTGTCACAAATGGAAGTTAATACTGTAGAATATAGTAAAGAATACAAAGATTTTGACATCATTTCTATTCTAGATACAATTTTGTCCCTGCTAAAGCCCCAAAAACCTAGACTACGGATGGAAATGATGCCAACTTGTTGTAGATTGGGCTCAAAATATTATTGGATCACTGCTTGATACAATAGTGTCGGTTCCAGTTTCTATAAATGTTACTCTAGCAGTAGCACTACCCACTCATGTCTTATTTGGGATTTTTATATAGTTAGCCATGCAACAGATGGTGTTGGGTTAGACCACTTTATACATGATGCAGGATGGTTAAATTAAAAATGCTGGTTTTCATGCCAAAAATTTAAAACTTTATCCTGTTACTTTATCCTTTATCCTGTTATCCTGAGTTGTGAGGATTTTAATTGTGTATAGACCTCTTGCCTTGATGGACACACCTTGGCCTGCAGCTGAGCATCACTCCCAATACATAATGACACTCAGCGGGCAATGTGTGTATGTATGGCTAACCCCATCCATGATCCTAACATAGACTGGATTATAAAGACAGCCTCTCATTCTCTGGATGACAGTCAGACCTTGCAAGCTGATGCTAACATTGAACAGCTCCAGGTTAGGTTCATTGGCAAAGTCACGTGTTTTGTTTTCGACCATAAACCGAAGTAATTGGACAAATTGAAGGTTTAACTTGATGATGGTGCCAGATTAACAAGTTAAGAGATCACTAAAGTTACTACAATTCAACCTGAAGGAAACATGAATGTTTGTACTATTTCAGTCCTCCACAATCTCCTCTAGCTTCAACCACTGACAGTTTATATACCAGTCTTCAACTTATAATATAACCAGTTAACCTCTCCGACACACTGAACTCTACAAAGTTCCTTAAAAATGCTGATTTTTTTTGTTAAAAACAGCAGAAAGTTCTTACTGAGAGGATACAGCTTCCTGAGGAGACCATCAATCAGCTTAGCAATTAGCCACAGACCCCACCCAGCATGCACCTGTTACAGAACATCACAGGTGTGTTTGATTTGGGTCTTAGACAGCTCGCTGGGGTGCTGCATTAATAAATGATGGTGTCACTACATAGA